TAGGACTTTTTGAAGTCGATGGTTCGTGTGAAACAGAAACAGAGTCGCCTTCTCCGGTGACGTCACGGTTCATTTTTCCGGCGCTGGTAGAGAAGAAAAACCTCAAAAAGTTACAAATCTGATAATACCCAGATCGAAATCGACGGTATATAATAATAGAAAACTATAAAGTTACGAACTTTTTGAATAGATTTCAGCTATGAAAAAGGAAATATTTTTTTTTTTGACTTTTTCCTAAAACCCAGAAAAGGTTGAGAAATTGGAGAATTTAAGAAACATATTAATCCAAATACAGACTTGTCCTTGTTTATTTAATGTGAATCTAAAGAGTTTTCCAGAAATTATCACCAATGAAAAACAGAGTCTGTTTGGGAGAAAAAGAGTCACATGTTTTGGATTTGTCCGAAAAATCAGAGAAGAATTAAAAACCCAATCAGAAATTGAAAAAAGGAAAGAAAGTTAAAAGAGAGAAAGCAGACCTGAAGATGTGAAGCTGTGGAAAAGCGAAAGTTTTGAAACTTTGAGGGGAATAAGACGTGAGACGAAACTGTGTTGTTGTCTTGAAGTTGTTAAGACTTGTTTAATTCTTTATTTTATTTTAGTTTAGTTTTCTAGATTCCAGTTTGTGTCTGCAGAAATTAATAAGAGAATTTTGCCATTTTTATATGCAAACTCTGCTTTTGGGTTTTCCCAAAATTGCTTGAGAAGCAAGGAGAGTGGGAATAAACTAATGTGATGGATCGGTCAAAAACCATCATAATTATGCGCATTTTCAAGTGTTTTTAAAAATCATATACTCCTATCTTCTTCATTCCTAAATCCAAAGCCAAAAAAATAATCATGCTTCGTAAATGACCAAAACCTAAAAAAGCTATTATAAAACCCCATAAAAGACTTGTAGTAAAATTGTTGAAAAGTAAGATTCTCAAAATATATACCAAAACCTAAGTTAATTTTTTTTTTTTTTGCTTTGCAAAAATATTAGTATGTATTTTTTTACTTTTCAACAAATTTACTACAAGTATATTTTTAAAATAAATCAGTATACCTTTACGAAGCTTCACTATTTTCACTCTATACTCACCTGCTATACAATTTTTTTTTTTTTCAACACCCGCTATACAAATTTTTTTTTTTTTTTGAAAAAAACGCTATACAAGATTTAAATGGCAAAAATACAATTTTAAAATTTTCGAGATTAATCAGATTTCGAATTAAAAAGTTATTGTTTTTAGTAGTCATGTTTTATCAGACCCATGCAAATTAGGTGTGATGCAATTTCACTTATTTGATATTCTTCTAAAACCAAAAACTTCTAGAACCACTTGCCTCTTGAATTATCTCATTCGATTAGTATAATAGTATCTATATGTGCAAAATGGTAGATGAAGACAATTACGGAGATAATTTAAACAAACGTAGATGGTTAGAATTTTCTTTTTAGATGAAGTTATTGACTACTACTTCCTTGGCAACGAAGCAAAAAAGTCAACTTTAAATATTGCAGTAAAACATACTTTCACACCTCGAGTCTCGAGAGTTAAAGAAATCCATTTTCTTGGCCGCTAAGGCTTTTGAGTTTTGATAAATTCCATGGTCATAATGAATACGTATATATTATAAGTAGTTATGCTGAAGCATTGATTGAAAATTATACAATAATAGTTTGTTAGTGATTATAATCATTCGTCCGTTTATGTTGTCCTCTCTAATAAGGAACACATGATGGTTTCAATTATTATAAAATAAGTGAATAATAATGGTCAAAGCTTTTCTAACCAAACCAACGTCATACAAGTTAATTTGGTGCTAACTACTCCTTTATAAAACCAGAGCAAGTACTCTGTGAACTATAAAAATAAATTGTCAATGATTATAAATTAAAAAATTACATGTCAAGCCTATATATAAAATGCTATAACTTGTCGGGGATGTTCAAGTGCAAGCTAAGTAGATCTTAAGATTATATATGCTGATTTCGTGCATTATGATTTTGCTTCAATAAAAATGTTTGTTTAGTTTTTATTATGTATGGATATATAATTTTTTTAGTGAAACTATATATACACAAAGATTTGATGTAATAGTAAACAGAGAAAAAGACTAATACCACTACTTACTTAGAGAGGCAGTTTTTAATAAATGTTGATTAAGTGTTTTGATGTATAATTTGAATATCAAAATGTTTAAAATCCCCAAGTCTTGAAAACAACTTGAACAAATAGTAGCGTCACTGCTTTCGTCAGCACAAAAACACATCACACATGAGCATATTTCACCATCTTGAGAGAAAAAAAAAAAACTTAAATTTAATTTAAAATGTATATCTGTTCTGGTCGTGGGGACCACTTAGCTTCCGCAATTCCCATTTCCCCGCGAGAGATGCGATTTTGCATTAATTGACTAATTACCTTTTCGACCAAAAAAAAAAAAAAAGACTAATTATCTAAAAGCGACACCGTATTATAGTCCCGAGAAATCTCTCTCTCTGTAATGGGCCTGATCTGGGCTTTCACATTTTAATAATTTATAGTAGGCCTTTAACGGGCCTTATTAAACATTGATTCCTACGTGTCATATATTCCTACGTGTCAAATACGGGTCCCACTTATAAATCCAGAAACAGCCCGGAGAAATATTATCCGATCTCCCTCCAAAACCCCCCCCAAGAAACAGAGTACGCAACGGAACAAACAAAAAAAATCAAGAAATCAAAAATCTCTGTCGCTAAAACCCCCAAAAATCTTCCTTTTCCAATTCAAAAGAACAAACCAACAACAAAAAAAGCTTTTTTTTCCTCGATGGAAGATCCCCTTATCGCTTCCGGATCACGTTCCGGCGTTGAATCCTTACCGGAAACTCCAGTCTCCGCCGTAACCTCCTTCGCCGCAGTCGTCGAATGCGTTCGTCGGAATTGGATCATAACATTAGCGATGGTCGGACTTTTCCTCTACTTAGCCTTCGTTGTTTGCATATTCTGTTTCTATAGAGACCAATACTCCGGAAGCGAAACACATCCAATCGTCGACGCGTTTTACTTCTCAGTCGTTACAATGAGCACCGTCGGTTACGGCGACATTGTCCCGTTAACTAGAACTACGAAGATCATATCGATCGGTTTCGTAATAATCAGTATCGTGTTACTCGACATTCTAATCAATTGGGTCGTCGATCACGTTCTTGCTCTCCAAGAAAACGCGATTCTCGCTCTGATCGCTAATAGAAACAGAGCGATTCGTGATCGCATTGTTGACCTCGAGAACGGTGGGAAGATGAAGACGATTTGGAAATTCGGATTAGCGTTATGCGTCGTGGTTACTTGCGTTGGAGTTGGAGCTTGTGTTCTTTGCTTTGGAGAGAAATTAGGTTTCTTGGATTCGGTTTACTTATCGGTTATGTCGGTTACTACGGTTGGTTATGGAGATGAAACGTTTAAGACGGTTGGTGGGAGGATTTTCGCGGTGTTTTGGCTTGTGTTGTCGACTATTGCAATGGCTTGTTTGTTTATCTACTTTGCACAGATTAGAGTCGATGGTAAAGTCATGGAATTGCCCCTGAGGTAAAAAGATTATAACTTTTTTCTAAAAGTGTCTTTGATTGATTATAGTTTTAGTATTTGACTAGGTTCTGTTTTTGTTTGTGTGTTTTTTGTTCTGATTAGCGAATCGGAGTTTGTTGTGTCGAAGCTTAAAGAGAGTGGGAAGATTAGTGAGGATGACATAAAGCAAGTCGTAAGCGAATACGAGAAGCTCGATCGTAACAATTTGCGAAAGATCACATCGTCCCAACTCTTGGAGGGTGGTAATGGTGAAAACTGAAAAGTATAGAGATCATAGGTAAAAATGTTTCACTTTAATTTTTAGTGTAAGATGTATAGAAGAATCGTCAAAATGATGATGATGCTCTTTTTTTTGACACATCCTAAGATTCTAATGAGAAAGATTACTTGATTTTGGAATATAATCAATTTTTGGTGCCTTTGTCACTTGACACTTCAATTACTACATTCTTTCATTTATAATAAATGTGTGAATCACATAAACTGCAATCTGTGTCACATTCGATACAAGAAAGATCAGTAGCCATATAAACAAACCCAATTAACATTGCCCAAACAGAAGGATACAAAATCAAACGCAAAAAAAAGAAAGAAAGTAAGCAGATTATTGGTTTGCCGAATAAAAATAGAAACAGAGAAGTGAAATTTAAGCTTGAGGTTTGTTCCACTTGAGTGGCTTGACGACTTCCCAGGTGAAATCAGGGTCGTCCCTTCCGAAATGTCCGTACGCAGCGGTTTTCAGGAACCTTCCGTTGCCTCCTCTCTTTAGGTCAAGGTTAATGATCATCATTCCCGGTCTGAAATCGAAGCTCTCTTTCACAATCTTCAGTATCTCTTTGTCCGGAATCAACCCTGTTCCGTAAGTGTCCACAAAGACGGACAATGGCTCAGGGACTCCAATAGCGTAAGAGACCTGAACAAGAGCCCTACGAGCCATTCCGTTAGCTACTACGCTCTTAGCGGCTTGTCTCACAATGTAGGCTCCACTTCTGTCGACTTTGGTTGGGTCTTTGCCTGAGAAAGCACCGCCTCCGTGAGCTCCCCATCCACCGTAAGTGTCGATGATGATCTTACGTCCGGTTAGACCAGCGTCTCCATGGGGTCCACCGATGACGAATCGGCCTGATGGGTTTAAGTGGAAGATGGTTTTATCGTCAAGGTACTTCTCTGGGATGACTGGCTTGATGACATGTTCCTTGAGGTCACGTGCGATTTCGTCGTTGGTCACGGTTTCGTCATGTTGGGTTGAAATGAGGACTGTGTGGACACGGATTGGGGCCATGGCACCGTTATCATTGTAATACTCGACAGTGACTTGGGTTTTTCCGTCAGGTCTTAGCCAGGCGCAAGTGCCGTTCTTTCTGACTTCTGTTAGGCGAGCACCGAGCTTGGTCGCAAGAACATGGCTCAGTGGCATCAACTCAGGGGTTTCATCAGTAGCGTAACCAAACATGTGTCCTTGGTCACCAGCTCCAATGTCTTCAGGACGTTTGGTGAAGTGACCGTGAACTCCTTGGGCAATGTCAGGGCTCTGTTGTTCGATGTTGACTAGGACTTTGCATTTGTCAGCATCAAGACCTACATCATCAGATATGAATCCGATGGCACGACAGGTGTCACGGACGATCTTCTCATAATCAACTTTGGCCTTGGTGGTTATCTCGCCAAAGACCATGACCATGTTAGTCTTGGAGCACGTCTCACAAGCAACTTTGCTGTCAGGGTCTTGTTCAAGACAGGCGTCGAGGACTGCATCAGAGATCTGGTCACAGAGCTTGTCGGGGTGTCCCTCGTTCACAGACTCAGATGTGAATAGGAAAGTCTCCATTTTGCTACAAGAATAGACCAGAAAAACTGATTCAGCCACTGCAGAATCATGAATGAAGTAGCATCATGCTAAGATGTCCTGAAAGCTTTTCTTAGATTCTATGTTCTAAAGAGTCTTAGTCTAGACAACATCTAAACGGGTTTTAATAAAAATTCAACACTAGAGAATTCAAGGTTAAGACTTCAAAGAGTGTTTACAAATAGAACGCTTCTGATATCAAAGCTATCATCGCCGTTGTTTCTCCATGAAGGATGATAAAGATCTCGAAAACTGCGAAAGAAACGTTGGTGATGATGTCTCCTTGTCCAGACTCTCTTGATCCTTGTCTCTCCAGAACTTAAGGATAAGGAGATTCTCCTCGTCTGTCGATCTCTGAACCATGATTCTCGACGCTAACCTTTCGCAATATTTTATCTATAACAGTCAGGCCATTTTCCCCACCAGCCCAAGCAGAGGCAATACCTTCGATTCCAACTTCATATTCCGGTGTTGGCACATAAGGCGGATTCACAACAATCACGTCGACCGAGCCAGCAAGTCTCTTCTCTACACAAGAAGCTATATCCGTGCAGATAACATCAGCATCGACTCCATGTGCTTCTAGAGTTTCAGTTGTCACTCTTGCAGCTATCGGGTTTGTGTCGGTAGCTAGATAATGAACACCGGGAACTTCGTCTCCGAGGAGACGAATAAGCGAAGTTATGACATACCCGCTTCCGCATCCAATCTCCATACAAATCTTTGGCTTGTGATCTATCAAATTAGTGTGATCAGCGAGTAATGCATCAACTAGAGCAAATGAATCATCACATGGTTCATAGACCTCACGATGCGAACTAACAAGCCGAATTTCAGCAATTCTCGATGACATATCGCACATGAAACAACTCAAAATCCTTGCAAAACGCTAAAAAGCTGGAAAAGAAAAATCAGGACCGAGTTCAAAGTTTTCGAAATTCAACAACACCAAGTAAGAAAGAAATAGCCATTAACGAACTTGAAAAGCAGATCCAGATGCGAAATCGATTACAACTGACTGAAATCCCAGAAATCTGAGGAAATTTTGAGAAACTCGAATGAAGTCGTTGCAGATCCAATCACAGAATACCAACGTCGTACTCAAAATTAAACGAAAACAAAAAACTAAAGAACAGTGATTCGAGAGAGAAGATGACGAACAGTACCTGCGTCGTTGAGAGATTCGACGATTCGGATCTCGAAGAAGAAGAACTCAGATCTCTCTTTGATTCAGAACAAGTGTGATACGAGAAGGAACGGTTACAGGGACGAGTAAGTGAATTAGAACACCGTAGCTATTTATAGGCCTTTAACACCGGTTTACTTGGTTAAGTACCCTACTTGGTCCGACCTGTTATACCGGGAACAAAACAAAAATTCAATTTAATGCCATGAGTCCCATACGAAATTGTTGAACCTGGTCGTTATATAATTGAGATACAAAATTTAGATGAGATGGTTTAAACCAATGGGGATTTACAAATTGAGTAAGTCACCTGTGAGAGAACCGACCGGTCTACAATTGAGTACAAAACCATTGGTTATCTAATTATTTTGATATCCTACTTTTTTTGGTTTCTAATTGATTATTTTTTGGAGATACTTAACTCGCATTAGATAAATCATCCTACGAACTACGGAGTATTATTAAACAATAGTAAGATTTTTGTTTTGTTTAATACAAGTGCGAGAAAGAAGAAGAAAAAAAACGTTATCAATGCTGATGCAACTAAGAAGTGAAAATAATTAATTTAAAACAAAGGATTACACACACAAATGTAAGTGGACTCCCATCTTCATGCTTTACAAAGATTATGGTAGGTGATAATTATATTAGACTTTTTTAAATTGTGGTTGTTGGTGTTGACCAAAACAAAAACAAAAATTGTGGTTATTGGTGAGATAAAATGGTGACCGTTGGATCATTTTGTTTAATGGCTAAATATAACTTTAGGTTTGGTGAAGGATTTTTACCTACTTCAGTAACAATTGGTTATTCAATCAATGA